GAGTCACCTGATCCTCTGGACAGTCAGTCACACACTAGGGAACAGTTTTGATTGGTCACATGTAATTCATTGTGTGTGTATGTGCGCAAGATTCACGACATGATTCACCTGTCCTATAGACACCATGTCAGTTCTCTGTGGATATTCACAATAGTCAGTTTGTGAGGTTGACCTTATTTTCTTATCTTTTTTTTTTCGGATTGATATTTTCAGTGGTGGTGCTTCAATTAGCGTGCTGTGCTTTAGCTGTTAAAATTTTTTACAGGATGCTGTGAGTTTTGTGTTTTATATTCCCTCCCTGAACCCTCGCCCCTCTGTGCTGCTTCGTTCTGGTTATCAAATCATTTTGTCATTCTCCCATTGTTTTATGTCTCTCTTTCTGTCTGTTTCCTTCCCTTCCCTTCCATCTGTCTCTTGTGTCAGGCTTTTAAGCAGCTTGCTGGAGAGGTAAATACATCCATTGTGCATTCTGGTGTCTTGCTGTAGTGTCTCTTGGTTTGCTCTACGATGGAGATCTGCATGCTGTTCAGTGCTCTTCTCAACTTTACTCTGATGCTTCCTGTCTGATATTCATAGTGGTAGAGCACTAACCTTAACACACATGAAGCCGCATGTATGGATGACGCTCACTAAGAAATGTCTAGGTCATATTTTTGCAGGATGCTGTGAGCCTTGTGTTTTATATTCCCTCCCTGAACCCTCGCCCCTCTGTGCTGCTTCGTTCTGGTTATCAAATCATTTTGTCATTCTCCCATTGTTTTATGTCTCTCTTTCTGTCTGTTTCCTTCCCTTCCCTTCCATCTGTCTCTTGTGTCAGGCTTTTAAGCAGCTTGCTGGAGAGGTAAATACATCCATTGTGCATTCTGGTGTCTTGCTGTAGTGTCTCTTGGTTTGCTCTACGATGGAGATCTGCATGCTGTTCAGTGCTCTTCTCAACTTTACTCTGATGCTTCCTGTCTGATATTCATAGTGGTAGAGCACTAACCTTAACACACATGAAGCCGCATGTATGGATGACGCTCACTAAGAAATGTCTAGGTCATATTTTTATCTCTAAATCCGAAGAAAGACATTTTATAATGTAAATAATTCTTACTCTTTATTACACCAAGGAAAATCATCCTGTATATATTTTTTTATACTAAAATAATGTATGTAAAACAAATACTACTAGAATGATGTATATTTACAGTTGTACTTCACAAATTTATACAAAAAGTGATTTTTTCAATTTAAAAAAAAAATATTTTTCACATGATGAAACCAGCTGTTTAAGCTTGACAAATTATAATGGTCAGATTATATATATATATATATGTATTTTTATTCCTTTACAAAGACGGGTGTGAGTTATTTTTTTAGAATGAGATTTTATTTTCAGTAATATATATTTAAAAAAAAAGTTTAAAATATCATGGTTACAGTGAGACGCTTAACACTGGAAGTGAATGGGGCTTAAATGTGATGAACATGTCAGAATCCCAAAAAATTGTTATGGTTCTACAGTAGTTTTTATTTTTGTTCAATATACACTACTGTTGAAAAAAATTGGGTTGGTAAGGTTTTTTAATGTTTTAAAAGCTTACCAAGGCTGCATTTATTTGATCTAAAATACAGTAAAAACAGTAATATTGTGAATTATTACCATTTAAAATGTTGTAAATGTTTTAATATATTTAAAAATGTACTGTAATTTATTCCTGCAAAGTCAAAGCTGAATTTTCAGAAGCCATTACTCCAGTCTCCAGTGTCACATGATCCTTCAGAAATCATTTAAATGCTGATTTGCTTATTCTTTGATAAATAGAAAGTTCAAAAGAAGAGCAATATTGATTTTGGAGTGAAATATGGCCTAGTCAGTTCGTGAGAGATTCTTCTTTCTTATAAGCTCTTGCACACCTCAAGTATTTCAAATGATGGCGGTGCTGGTTTTGTCTTTCATTCAGGGACGTCTCGGTGGAACTGCCTTTTGTTTTAATGCATCCAAAACCCACAGATTCCACCCTTTTACATTCAACCTCAGGTTTGTGCCAAGAAATGATCAAACACAGATAACAAAAAAATAAACTCTTTAATTGCACTAAATAGGCTACATGGAAGTGTAACAGGAGCTCCTTCATTAAGTCCCTTAATAATACTTTTTTTGTTCAACAGCTGCTCCAATGTTGGATCCACCAATTGACACCAACTTGATAGAGTTTGACACAAAGTAAGCAAGACTTTTTAAATATGAACAAAGCACACTGATCACGTATGTATTTCTCTCTTGTCTTAAGCGTTGTTTTCCATGTTACTCTTTCTAACAGGAGTTTGACCCCAGATGACGACATTGTATTTGAGGACTTTGCTCGCTTGCGGTTAAAAGGAATAATCGACAAGGAAGAGGACTGCTGAATTTATCATCTCGTTCATCAAGAGCAGAAGCGCTTCTCATCAAATTGTGCATCTCATCTCCTAAAGGGTGTAACAATGAAACGATTCTCATCTCATTACGAAAGAAGCAGTATTGGGATATTTGACTGAAAACTGGAGAAAAGTCAAACTTATTAATATACATATGAAAAGCTAATGAAGGAAGGGATTCCAGGGAATTTTGTACATTTTTGCATAGGCATGTGAAAAGTATATCTCCCATATTGTGCCAGCTCTTATGAACGGCAAGCCAATTTGTAAAGATGGTGAAATTTGCTCCATATTTATTACTTTACAGAGACGGTCATGTGATCTATGTACAGTATGGACAGATGGATGGTTTCATTGATGGGCTGTGCATGTTTCTCAGTGCTGCTGTGAGGATCATATGTGATTGAGCACATATTGTTTTACTGCAGAATGTAAATATATGAAATTGCTGCTTTTAATTCGTTGGACTGCTGCATTGTTTTTGTTTTTTTAAGTAAATGTATAGAGATTTAACATCCCTCAGGAGAAAGGAAAGTAGTTGTGTTATTACAATTTTCATACCTACAGGATTCACTGTTTGCCATCTTATTTTTATTTTAAAACGGAATTTTTATTTAATTTTTTAAAATAAAATAACAGAAATAGAACATGGCTGTGTCTCTGTGTTATTAAATATGGATGCCAAGAATATTAACAGGAAGAAAATCCAGTGCGTTTGCTCTCAGGTGTACTTACTATCGTGTGTGTGTGTGTGTGTGAAAATAAGCTCCAAAAGCATAGAAAAATTGGCAAAAACATAAGATAATCAAGTCATAAGAAGGAGGTCGCTAAGTTTTGGATTCTGTCTGTCTGTCGGCTGCGCGAGATCTCACTCGATACCGCTTCTTCAGTCGACCTGCCAAACGTTGCCATCTAGTGGACGACAAATTAATTGCAAAACAATGTGCAAAGTCATTGAAGAAACAGTAATAAAATATTAACAGAATTACATTCACCTTTCTTGTGTTGCATTATATTTATTAATCCTCTCCGCCTCCTCTTTCTTCTCCTCTAACCAGCGGTCGAGGAGCTGCTCGTTCTGGAGGTTTGCGGCCGTCAGCTCCTCTCTCAGTGAGCTGTGCTCCAGTCTCAGTGCTGTCAGTTCCTTTGATTGACACTCCAGCTGATACTCGCATTCCTCTAGATCAGCCTTCAGACTGGAAGCCCCCTGGGCCAATACAACCGCTTCGGTCCTGTAGCGAGCAACTCTATGGCAGGAAGACACAGAGGCCTATTAGGACTGCTTGTCTTGATTTCGTCGTCTTATTCAAGATGTACCTGGCTGTTTGACCTACTGTGAGTGACAGTATTGTAACTCTGCCTCATTCAGGTATATATTGCCAGTCAGATCAGAGATTTTCTGCTTGAGCTAGAATAAAGAGAAGAGGACGGATATTCCATCGTTAGTAGTAGTGATAGACTGTGGAAACTGATACATTATTTGCGGATTCTTTGAGGAATAATGTTCAAAAGAACAGAATTTATTTGAAACGGAAGTCTGTAACCTTATAAAAATGTCTTTATTGTCTGCAAACTATTGAATGGTGGTGTGTCAGGGTTTACACCAAAATATTAGGCAGCACAACTGTTTTTAACATTGATCATTCCAAGAAAATAAAAGTTTACAGAGTAGCAAATCAGCATATTAGAATGAATTCGGAAGGATCATGTGACACTGAAGGAGTAAAATATATTCAAATATAAAAGTTACTGTAATAATATTTCACAACATTACTGTTCTTCACTGTATTTTTGATTGAATAAATGCAGCCTTGATCAGCATTAGAGACTTCTTTCAAAAACAAAAACAAAACTTTATTATTTCAAACTTGCATCAGAACATAAACTGAGAATAAATGTTTAAAAGTCCCAGTTAATGGCTTAATATGCTCCGAAACAAAAGAAGGTAAAAACTAATTTCATATAGATTAAGCAACTGAAACCTTAATTAAAGGTACAAAAAAACAATGTTATGCACAAACTCTCAAGATCTGGTGGGAAGTAAATGATTAGTTTTAGCAATAAGGCAGTTTATTACTGATGTTTATTGGTTTTGAATATTACTCTCACCTGTTGATTAAGAAATTCCATCTCATTCACATTCAAATAAAGGGTGCCGCCTTCTTCTGGGCATCTAGAGCTTCCATTATCTTTGAAACTGAGTCAAATATGACAGCAAACAAAACAATAAATTTAAATGTATGCATAATCTATTCCAATAAGTCAAGAAATCAAATCAGTACTAAAATAGATGTCAGGCATTGTGTGTCTTACCTGGGTTTCGTGTGAAAGGTCAGCATTTCCTCCAGCCTGGACACTGTCAGAGCATCCAGTCATTACTGAAGCACTACTGATTGCTTGTTTCTGTACATTTGACAGCATCTGAAATAAAACTCACCTTTGTCAAACAGGCCAGAGAAAGGATCTCTCTGCCTGCAGTCTCTGTGAAACAGCTCTGCCCGCACGTGACTCTTCCAGGACTCCATGATCTGTGGTGGAACTCAGTTGGACAATTCACTTGTTTTAGACGCTTATCTGATGTATTATTACAGCGTTCTCACACTAGACATTACGTGCAGTCCTAGATAACTAATTTCTGTTGCAGATTTTCTCAAGATGTTGCGCAAATGGCTTCAATTACTAGTTAAACATCATCCATGTTTAGTTTTCTCCAACGCAGTCAGCGGGTTTCGCGTTCTGTTATTGTGTTCTTCCGCGGCTTCCGTAGTTCGCTACACAGTGAGAGCGCTTTGTGTGCTACAGTGGCAGAATATCTCGTCAAATTTAGTTTACGGTGCATCAATATAGATGTATGTAATTTAGTTTTCAAACGTATAGATTAATGAAGTGCGTTTATAATTTTTCAGTAATTAAACTCTTGTATAACGTTAGTTAAAGCGCGCGTGTGTGTTTGTCTGCTGTTGTTGATCATTCTGTTTGTTTGTAAGTGTTGAGCGCTTGTATTTTGTATGTTTATACTTATATTTTCTCTTTTTTTCTGTAGGTTGTGTGTTCGGAATGGCTAACGACAGGCTGAGGGCATTAGAAGATGTGGAGAAGGAGATAGCTTTAGTGCTGCAGAGCGCAGGTTTGTCACTTCATACATGTATGCATGGATTTCATTTCAGTAATGCTCAATATGTGACCTTGGATATATTTGTAGCAATAGCCATGGGTCAACATTATCGATTTTTCTTTTATGCCAACAATCATTAGAATATTAATAAAAAATCATGTTCCATGAAGATATTTTGTAAATGTCCTACCGTAAATATATCAAAACTTAATTTTTGATTAGTAATATGCATTGCTAAGGACAACTCTAAAAGTGATTTTCTCAATATTTAGATTTTTTTTGCACCCTCAGATTCCAGATTTTCAAATAGTTGTATCTCGGCTAAATATTGTCCTATCCTAACAAACCATACATCAATGGAAAGCTTATTTATTCAGACACCGTGTCAAATTCTGGGATTTGGATTGCGATTGCATTGTCTTTAAATCATGACGAAATCGTATTAAATATGATCAAACATACAGAACAATATTAATTAAAAATCATGTTCCATGAAGATATTTTGTAAATGGCCTACCGTAAATATATCAAAACTTAACTTTTGATTAGTAATATGCATTGCTAAGGACAACTCAAAAAGTGATTTTCTCAATATTTAGATTTTTTTGCACCCTCAGATTCCAGATTTTCAAATAGTTGTATCTCGGCTAAATATTGTCCTATCCTAACAAACCATACATCAATGGAAAGCTTATTTATTCAGACACCGTGTCAAATTCTGGGATTTGGATTGCGATTGCATTGTCTTTAAATCATGACGAAATCGTATTAAATATGATCAAACATACAGAACTGACGTTCCTGCTGACGAAAAGATGCTTAAACCAGCTTAAGATAGTTTGTTACTAAAGTCCTAGACTAGCCAAGCTGGTTTTAGCTGGTCATTCAAGGAATACCCTTTTAAAATCAGTAAACAGACCATCTAGGCCAGACTGGGAGACCAGCAAACTGGATTAAGTTGATTGATTTATGTTGTTTTACATTAAATTGAGTTTTGTGACTGACATTACAAATATACATATTTAAACCTGATATTTACAGCTTTACAGTGATACTATTTAGCATTTTGTATGTTTATTCAAGTACACAAATTGAATCGTAGCAATCTGTCTTTCAGGAACGATCGTGCTGGAGCTTTCTAAAGAGAAGGCCAATGCCAGTTTATTAGACCGACAGCTAAACCAGTTCCAGACCTCCGTCAACAGAGTTGAGAGTGAACTGAGTGCACAGATCCGGTATCTGACACAGGTGTGTACTATGTGTGCTCACATCTATCTATATGTGTATCTATCTGTCTGTGTATCTATCTATCTATCTATCTGTGTGTGTGTGTGTGTGTGTGTGTGTATCTATCTATCTATCTATCTGTGTGTGTGTGTATCTATCTATCTATCTATCTGTGTGTGTGTGTGTATCTGTCTGTGTATCTATCTATCTGTGTGTGTGTGTGTGTGTGTATCTATCTATCTCTGTGTGTGTGTGTGTGTATCTATCTGTCTGTGTATCTATCTATCTGTGTGTGTGTGTGTATCTATCTGTCTGTGTATCTATCTATCTATCTGTGTGTGTGTCTATTTATGTTTATTTATATAGCGCTTTTAA